GTCACAAGGAATGACACAGGACCCTATGAGTGTGAAACCCAGAACCCAGTGAGTGCCAGCCACAGTGACCCACTCACCCTGAATATTTCCTGTGAGTAACTTCTATTCCTCCATTACCCTGGCTGTGAACTCAAAYACACAGGGCCAGAGGCTGGGCTACTTAGTCCCTCTCAGGTCCAAGTACACAGACACTCTCTCCTGGGCATCTGGACTGGCTGTGACATTTGCCCCAGGCACATCCAGGCAGGCCCAGCCTTGGGCCATGAATAGGAGGGGAGGGCTTGTGGTTCCCTGGGGAGACCTGGGGCTGCCACCTGGGACAGAGAAACAGGGGAATGTCACAGACTAATTTCAGTGAACAAAGGGGGTTTGGTTGAGACTTTCTGTAAGTGTGTAAGGTGCTGGGATTTGAACCCAGGGCCTCATGCATGCTGGGCAGGTGCTGTACCACTGTATTCCCCAGCCTAGTTTTGAATTAAAAAAAAAAAAAAAAAAAACAAGGTTGTGACATGGATCAGTAGTTATATTGTGGCCTTCTACAGTCTAGGAACTCCCCTTCCCTCTGATGACATTACATGTGGCTTTATTCTGTTTGTCCAGATGGCCCGGATGCCCCCATCATGAAGCCCCCAGACTCACATTTCTGTCCTGGGACAAATCTCAACCTCTCCTGCCACGCAGACTCTAACCCGCCTGCTCAGTTCTCTTGGTCTTTCAATGGGAGGCCCCTGGAATACACACAAGAGCTCTCAGTCCCCAACCTCTCTACAAATAATAGCAGATCCTATGTGTGTGTCGCCCATAACTCTGTCACTAACCTCAATAGGACCACAACCAAGAATATTACTATCTCTGATAAGTGGACCCTGGAGCACAGTATCAAGTGCTGGGTGGAGTCTTGATATTTCTGGAAACAACGTGGATGAAGTTACTTCCTAGCCTCAGGCCCACTCTCAGTCAGCCCCCTGTTGCTCTTCCACAGGGCTTGTGGCCCAGCCCTCCCTCAGAGCCACCAACACAGAACCACACTCTGTGGCCCTGACCTGCCTCTCAGGGGACCCTGGAATCTCCATCACGTGGATCCTCAACAGCCAGACTCTGCAGCTCACAGACAGGATGCAGCTGTCCCCGGACCACAGGACCCTCAGCATAGACCCCGTCAGACAGGAGGATGCCGGGGAGTATCAGTGTGAGGCCTCCAACCCCGCCAGTTCCACCAGGAGTGACCGCTACAGACTGGCTGTGATCTGTGAGTGGCCCCTGTCCCACCCAGTGTTTTTCCGTCATATATTTCACTGTCAAGGGCCATCATATGGCACCAGCCATGA